TTAATTTTTGTCAAATGTTATTATTTTGACATTTAGAGACGATTTGATGTATATTGAGGTTCAAATTTGTGTCATTTTCATAAATAAAAATTCGTCCCTGCGAAACTGGGCAATTTTTGACAAATGTCTAAGTAAAATTTGATTGATTGATGTCCAATGAGCTTGTAAAAAAAAAAATTAATTTTTGTCAAATGTTATTATTTTGACATTTAGAGACGATTTGATGTATATTGAGCTTCAAATTTGTGTCATTTTCATGGATAAAAATTCGTCCCTCTTGAATTAAGCAACTTTCGACAAATGTCAAAGTCAAATTTGATAGATTGAAATCCAATGAGCTTGTAAAAAAAAAAATTAATTTTTGTCAAATGTTATTATTTTGACATTTAAAGACGATTTGATGTATATTGAGCTTCAAATTTGTGTCATTTTCATGGATAAAAATTCGTCCCTGCCAAATTGGGCAATTTTTGACAGATGTCTAAGTTAAATTTGATTGATTGATGTCCAATGAGCTTGTAAAAAAAAAATTAATTTTTGTCAAATGTTATTATTTTGACATTTAAAGACGATTTGATGTATATTGAGCTTCAAATTTGTGTCATTTTCATGGATAAAAATTCGTCCCTGCCAAATTGGGCAATTTTTGACAGATGTCTAAGTTAAATTTGATAGATTGAAATCCAATGAGCTTGTAAAAAAAATTAATTTTTGTCAAATGTTATTATTTTGACATTTAAAGACGATTTGATGTATATTGAGCTTCAAATTTGTGTCATTTTCATGGATAAAAATTCGTCCCTGCCAAATTGGGCAATTTTTGACAGATGTCTAAGTTAAATTTGATTGATTGATGTCCAATGAGCTTGTAAAAAAAATTAATTTTTGTCAAATATTATTATTTTGACATTTAGAGACGATTTGATGTATATTGAGCTTCAAATTTATGTCATTTTCATGGATAAAAATTCGTCCCTGCCAAATTAGGCAATTTTTGACAGATGTCTAAGTTAAATTTGATTGATTGATGTCAAATGAGCTTGTAAAAAAAAAATTGTCAAATGTTATTATTTTGACATTTAGAGACGATTTGATTCATATTGAGCTTCAAATTTGTGTCATTTTCATGGATAAAAATTCGTCTCTGCCAAATTGGGCAATTTTTGACAGATGTCTAAGGGCCGAATTTATAGTCGCTCCTTGAGGTTTCCTCAGACCTTAAGGAAGCCTTGAACGTTTAGAATTGACATGAATAATTTGTCAAATATTAGCAAGTGTCCATTCTAAACTCGCGACCTCCAAGGAAGAGTCAAGGAACGACTATAAATTCGGCCCTAAGTTAAATTTGATTGATTGATGTCCAATGAGCTTGTAAAAAAAATTAATTTTTGTCGAATATTATTATTTTGACATTTAGAGACGATTTGATGTATATTGAGCTTCAAATTTGTGTCATTTTCATGGATAAAAATTCGTCCCTCTTGAATTAAGCAACTTTCGACAAATGTCAAAGTCAAATTTGACAGATTGAAATCCAATGAGCTTTAAAAGAAATAATTTCTGTCAAATGTTATTATTTTGACAATTAGAGACAATTTATTGTTCATTCCGTTGAGCTTCAAGTTTGTATCATTCTCATATAGATTAAAATTGATCTCTCCTAAGGGCGGGTATTATAAAACTGCTTTGACAGTTAACTTGAAGTTAACTTTATGAATTACATGTAATTCCAGAAGTTAACTTTAAGTTAACTCTCAAAGTAGTTTTATAATACCCTTCCTAAATTGGGCAATTTTTGACAGATGTCAATGTCAAATTTAATAGATCCAATGAGCTCATAAAAAAATTGATTTATGTCAGATGTTATTATTTTCCAGATTATTAGGCAATTCAAACCACGTGACATTCAAGATGGCGTGGCGGCCATACACGGGCCAAAAAACACAAAAAAATATCTAGTTTCTGTCCGAAGTAATAGTTTAAGTACCTAGTTAACAAATATTTCATTAAATAATGAAAATCATAGTTGTAAGCAAAACTGCAGAATAATTTAAAATACGCATAAAAACATATTCAAAACAAACTTGCTTGGCTGCCACGCCACATTCAATTTTCCTTTTTGACAAATGGATTGAATTGCCTAAGGGCCAAATTATGGACTGACTGGTAAACGTCTGGTTGTTACCTAGCAGGTACTTTCTATGGTCTAGATAATAGAAAGTACCTGCTAGGTAATAACCAGACACTTACCAGTTGGTCCATAATTTGGCCCTAATAGGAGCATTTACATTCACTTCTAACTTCAAGTTAAATTTGACATTTGATATTTTATCATTTACATTGGCTGTTTTCGATTCGCTTTGGTCCGTCTTCAAGGCCAACCAAATTAGAACCAACCGTTTTTGATTGCAAACCGGTGACGTGACAGGAATCCCTTGGTCCGTCTAAATTTGAACAAGCTTCACGAGTTGGTTCGAATTTTGGTTTCAATTTCGGTTTGCTTTGCTTTTATAACCTTAAAACGTGATGTCGTCTTTCTTGACAGACCAAATTCAAAAGCTGTCAACCAACTTCTGTCATATCCGAACCAACCTAGGCCAAACCGGGTTGCGAATGGAAAACCGCCATTGCAAAACATAAACGTTAAGTCAAAACGTCAGAATTTTATGAGAATCGGATGGATAATGTAAAAATTTGACATTTCACAAATTTCTGCTTGCCCTCGGCAAGCAGCTCGCCCAAATTTAAAGTGAACTTCAAATTTATTTCAATGTAAATGAATCTGTGCTGTCGCCAGGGTTGTTACAGGCTTATTTTTGAATGTGTAGTTTTCCACATTGAAATTGTGTAGCAATTCAAGCAATTGTGCACTGTTAATCTGACAATCAAATAGGCATCTTTTGCTTCGCGAGCACAGCTACAGAACCAGTGCCCGAATTCAGAACCAACAATTCGATAGTACGTCTATCTATAGGTCTGTATTTACAGAAATCACAAACGAGTCACAGCGAATTTCATTGGACAGAAACAGTCAGAAAACTAGTTTCAACCAATGAAATTCACTCTGTGGTTTGTGATTTCTGCTGAAACAGTCGAAACAGACCTCATGGGCGATACTATTGAATTGTGGGTTCAGAATCCGAGCCCACAGATATCGACTCTGACACTGAACGCTTACGACATCTCTTGCCACTTTGCAGAAGTGTCTAAATTCACTACTGTTACAAGAATTTTGAGTTACGGAATAGGTGATTTATCCATTGTGTAGCATTTCTGTGCAGTTTATTAAAAAGTGTAGCAAACAGATGAAATTGGTCATTGGGGTGCACCTGTGTAATCGATAGTCCAATTGTGTAGCAAACTACACAATTGTGTAGCTTGTAACAACCCTGGCTGTTGCCATATGGCAAGCACGTCAATTTCAAGACAAATTGGACTTTGAAGTGAATGTAAATGAACCATAAAGACAATTTAATGTCCATTCCATTGAGCTTCAAGTTTATATTATTTTCATAGATTAAAATTCATCTCTCCTAAATTGGGCAATTTTTGACAGATGTCAATGTCATATTTGATAGATCGAAGATTTCATGTAAATCAATTTTTGTAAATAAAAATTCATTCCTCCTAAATTGGGAAATTTTTGACAGATGTCAAAGTCAAATGTGATAGTCGGATCCCCAATGAACTTGGGAATGAAAATTGATTTCTGTCAGATATCATTATTTTGACAGTAAGAGATGATTTTATGTTCATTGAATGATGTTTGTATTACTTTTGAGGAAAACAAATCGTCGCTATTGAATTAAGCAATTTTTGACAGCTGTAAAACTCAAATTTGATAGTCGAATGTCAAAACGACCTTCCAAAAAACTTGTCATTTGTCAAAATGGTATTAACTCTGTTTTCACAGAAATTACAAACTATTCAGAGTATTTTTGATTGGTGCAAATTACCAACAACCAGTTTTCTAACTATTTTCAACCAATGACTGGTTTGTGATTTCTGTGAGAACAGACCTATTGTACCAATACAATAAATTATCTACGACTTATGGTTGAAAATTAGCATTAAATACAATGGATGAGTAATTTGTTATTCTCTAAATTTATTCGCCTACCTAGAGTTAACCTATTAATTTGATATTTTCTCAGAAAATGCAGAAAATCAAGGGTTGTTAATTGACATAAACTTAATATTGTTTTTATTAACATAAATATACTGTATTTACTTTTACTATACAGACTTATTTAATGAATGATATTTCCTAATATTGATTTTATTATTTCAATGAAACCTTTTCCAAACAAAATTAGTACAATTTGCATTAAATTATTCATTAAACGAGCCTTGAACCCCTAAAACAAGGGGCCAAATTCAAAATTTTCCTCACAATCTTCTGACAAATGACACCGCAGGGAAAGTGGAGATTGTTGACCACTTTGTAGGTCACTTACTGAAAAATTTAAAAAATTCAATTCCTACTTACCACATTTATTAGCAATCAAATCTTTTAATACTGTACGAAAAATTAAAATTAAACAATTTATCCATCATCTTGCCAAGACACATCACCCAAAGTTTCTTCGAAAGTGAGCGACTCAGGGGCAACTTAACCTCAATTTTTTCAAATAAATCCCTTAGCAAAGCTGAAATACACTAGAGAAACAAAGGCACAAATTAATTGGACTCTATTTACTAGATACTGTACGATTTTTATTAAAAGTTTTATTATATTTTGGAAAATTTTGCAAAACCTATTTACAAACAGTCTGTCTGTCCATTAGGGGACATCTGACAACATTGACAAGTGTCACCGGGCGAGAACCAATCGGGATTTTCGAGTTGACAAATTTTACAGTTTTCTGTAAATATTATATGTTAAAATGTAGTGCCATCTATTGACAAACTGTTATAACTAAGAAAACTTTTCCAAGTAAAATAGCTGTTAACAAGTTTTTCTATTTCTTATTATATTCTACATTGACTAATTTATTATATTAAAGACTAATTTCAAATGGTTTCAAAGTTTCCACGATCCAAACATAAAATTTCCCCACATTTGCGTATACTCCTGGAACGTTCTTTTGGCCGCAATTTATACCAAAAGCTACTATTCCTACTTGGTACATGGTATCGTTTATTCCTGTAGGACATACCAGAGCACCTCCGCCGTCACCTGAAAAAATCCTTTTTTTAAATTACAAACTTTAATGGAGATACACGTACCTTTACAAGAATCTTTTCCTTCTTCTCCTCCTGCGCACATAAAAGATTCGTGAAAATGGTATCGGGGGCCCAGTCTAGTTTTTCGTAACATCTCTTGGCATTTTTCAGGAGAATGAGTTGGGAGTTCCACTTTTCTTAAAACATTTGATACTGGAAAAAAAATTAAAACTTTCTATACATGGCATTCCAAAGAAAAAAAAGTTTCATTTAGAAAAAACTGCTTAAATCAAGCATAAAATGGCTTTCTTTAAAGCTATATAGATCCTGTATAAGAGGATTTATTCTTCTCAATCTTCATCTTAATTAATTGAAGTCAACATGAAGCAAAACAATCAAAAAATCCTTCTCTAGGCTCCTAAGCACTGGAGTAACGACGTTTCCCAACTTCCAAAGTTAAAATAATGAAGCAAAAGCAGTGGCGGTCCATACACAATTATATGGGGGGGGGGGGTAATGGATGATGGGAAAATTATATGTAAAAAATGCTAAAAACTCAAAACGATTGAGTTATTATTAATAGAGTTACGATTTTTTGAATATAAGTAATGATGTTTTGTAAAGTAAGACTTAACAAACAATTTTTTCACTCAAAAACTAAAGTGAGTGGAAAATTGAAATTTTGAGGACTTTTTCCTAATGATTCAATGTAAAAAATACCAAAAACTCGAAGCGATTGAGTTATTATCAATGGAGTTACGATTTTTTGAATATAAGTAATGATGTTTTGTAAAGTGAGACTTTACAAACAATTTTTTCACTCAAAAACTAAAGTGAGTGGAAAGTTGAAATTTTGAGGATTTTTTCCTAATGATTCAATGTGAAAAATACCAAAAATTCAAAGCGATTGAGTTATTATTAATGGAGTTACGATTTTTTGAATATAAGTAATGATGTTTTGTAAAGTAAGACTTTACAAACAATTTTTTTCACTCAAAAACTAAAGTGAGTGGAAAGTTGAAATTTTGAGGATTTTTTCCTAATGATTCAATGTGAAAAATACCAAAAATTCAAAGGGATTGAGTTATTATTAATGGAGTTACGATTTTTTGAATATAAGTAATGATGTTTTGTAAAGTAAGACTTTACAAACAATTTTTTCACTCAAAAACTAAAGTGAGTGGAAAATTGAAATTTTGAGGACTTTTTCCTAATGATTCAATGTAAAAAATACCAAAAACTCGAAGCGATTGAGTTATTATCAATGGAGTTACGATTTTTTGAATATAAGTAATGATGTTTTGTAAAGTAAGACTTTACAAACAATTTTTTCACTCAAAAACTAAAGCGAGTGGAAAGTTGAAATTTTGAGGACTTTTTCCTAATGATTCAATGTGAAAAATACCACAAATTCAAAGCGATTGAGTTATTATTAATGGAGTTACGATTTTTTGAATATAAGTAATGATGTTTTGTAAAGTAAGACTTTACAAACAATTTTTTCACTCAAAAACTAAAGTGAGTGGAAAGTTGAAATTTTGAGGACTTTTTCCTAATGATTCAATGTGAAAAATACCAAAAATTCAAAGCGATTGAGTTATTATTAATGGAGTTACGATTTTTTGAATATAAGTAATGATGTTTTGTAAAGTAAGACTTTACAAACAATTTTTTCACTCAAAAACTAAAGTGAGTGGAAAGTTGAAATTTTGAGGACTTTTTCCTAATGATTCAATGTGAAAAATACCAAAAATTCAAAGCGATTGAGTTATTATTAATGGAGTTACGATTTTTTGAATATAAGTAATGATGTTTTGTAAAGTGAGACTTTACAAACAATTTTTTCACTCAAAAACTAAAGTGAGTGGAAAGTTGAAATTTTGAGGACTTTTTCCTAATGATTCAATGTGAAAAATACCAAAAATTCAAAGCGATTGAGTTATTATTAATGGAGTTACGATTTTTTGAAAATAATGATATTTTGTAAAGTAAGACTTTACAAACAATTTTTTCACTCAAAAACTAAAGTGAGTGGAAAATTGAAATTTTGAGGACTTTTTCCTAATGATTCAATGTGAAAAATACTAAAAATTCAAAGCGATTGAGTTATTATTAATGGAGTTACGATTTTTTGAATATAAGTAATGATGTTTTGTAAAGTGAGACTTTACAAACAATTTTTTCACCTCAAAAACTAAAGTGAGTGGAAAGTTGAAATTTTGAGGACTTTTTCCTAATGATTTAATGTGAAAAATACCAAAAATTCAAAGCGATTGAGTTATTATTAATGGAGTTACGATTTTTTGAATATAAGTAATGATGTTTTGTAAAGTGAGACTTTACAAAACAATTTTTTCACTCAAAAACTAAAGTGAGTGGAAAGTTGAAATTTTGAGGACTTTTTCCTAATGATTCAATGTGAAAAATACCAAAAATTCAAAGCGATTGAGTTATTATTAATGGAGTTACGATTTTTTGAATATAAGTAATGATGTTTTGTAAAGTGAGACTTTACAAACAATTTTTTCACTCAAAAACTAAAGTGAGTGGAAAGTTGAAATTTTGAGGACTTTTTCCTAATGATTCAATGTGAAAAATACCCAAAAATTCAAAGCGATTGAGTTATTATTAATGGAGTTACGATTTTTGAATATAAGTAATGATGTTTTGTAAAGTAAGACTTTACAAACAATTTTTTCACTCAAAAACTAAAGTGAGTGGAAGTTGAAATTTTGAGGATTTTTTCCTAATGATTTAATGTGAAAAATACCAAAAATTCAAAGCGATTGAGTTATTATTAATGGAGTTACGATTTTTTGAATATAAGTAATGATGTTTTGTAAAGTGAGACTTTACAAACAATTTTTTTCACTCAAAAACTAAAGTGAGTGGAAAGTTGACATTTTGAGGACTTTTTCCCTAATGATTCAATGTGAAAAATACCAAAAATTCAAAGCGATTGAGTTTATTTAATGGAGTTACGATTTTTTGAATATAAGTAATGATGTTTTGTAAAGTAAGACTTTACAAACAATTTTTTTCACTCAAAAACTAAAGTGAGTGGAAAGTTGAAATTTTGAGGGACTTTTTCCTAATGATTCAATGTGAAAAATACCAAAAATTCAAAAGCGATTGAGTTATTATTAATGGAGTTACGATTTTTTGAATATAAGTACTGATGTTTTGTAAAGTAAGACTTTACAAACAATTTTTTCACTCAAAAACTAAAGTGAGTGGAAAGTTGAAATTTTGAGGACTTTTTCCTAATGATTCAATGTGAAAAATACCAAAAATTCAAAGCGATTGAGTTATTATTAATGGAGTTACGATTTTTTGAATATAAGTAATGATGTTTTGTAAAGTAAGACTTTACAAACAATTTTTTCACTCAAAAACTAAAGTGAGTGGAAAGTTGAAATTTTTGAGGACTTTTTTCCTAATGATTCAATGTGAAAAATACCAAAAATTCAAAGCGATTGAGTTATTATTAATGGAGTTACGATTTTTTGAATATAAGTAATGATGTTTTGTAAAGTAAGACTTTACAAACAATTTTTTCACTCAAAAACTAAAGTGAGTGGAAAGTTGAAATTTTGAGGACTTTTTCCTAATGATTCAATGTGAAAAATACCAAAAATTCAAAGCGATTGAGTTATTATTAATGGAGTTACGATTTTTTGAATAAAGTAATGATGTTTTGTAAAGTAAGACTTTACAAACAATTTTTTCACTCAAAAACTAAGTGAGTGGAAAGTTGAAATTTTGAGGACTTTTTCCTAATGATTCAATGTGAAAAATACCAAAAATTCAAAGCGATTGAGTTATTATTAATGGAGTTACGATTTTTTGAATATAAGTAATGATGTTTTGTAAAGTAAGACTTTACAAACAATTTTTTCACTCAAAAACTAAAGTGAGTGGAAATTTGAAATTTTTGAGGACTTTTTCCTAATGATTCAATGTGAAAAATACCAAAAATTCAAAGCGATTGAGTTATTATTAATGGAGTTACGATTTTTTGAATATAAGTAATGATGTTTTGTAAAGTAAGACTTTACAAACAATTTTTTCACTCAAAAACTAAAGTGAGTGGAAAGTTGAAATTTTGAGGACTGTTTCCTAATGATTCAATGTAGAAAAATACCAAAATTCAAAGCGATTGAGTTATTATTAATGGAGTTACGATTTTTTGAATATAAGTAATGATGTTTTGTAAAGTAAGACTTTACAAACAATTTTTTCACTCAAAAACTAAAGTGAGTGGAAAGTTGAAATTTTGAGGACTTTTTTCCTAATGATTCAATGTGAAAAATACCAAAAATTCAAAGCGATTGAGTTATTATTAATGGAGTTACGATTTTTTGAATATAAGTAATGATGTTTTGTAAAGTAAGACTTTACAAACAATTTTTTCACTCAAAAACTAAAGTGAGTGGAAAGTTGAAATTTTGAGGACTTTTTCCTAATGATTCAATGTGAAAAATACCAAAAAATTCAAAGCGATTGAGTTATTATTAATGGAGTTACGATTTTTTTGAATATAAGTAATGATGTTTTGTAAAGTAAGACCTTTACAAACAATTTTTTCACTCAAAAACTAAAGTGAGTGGAAAGTTGAAATTTTGAGGACCTTTTTCCTAATGATTCAATGTGAAAAATACCAAAAATTCAAAGCGATTGAGTTATTATTAATGGAGTTACGATTTTTTGAATATAAGTAATGATGTTTTGTAAAGTAAGACTTTACAAACAATTTTTTCACTCAAAAACTAAAGTGAGTGGAAAGTTGAAATTTTGAGGACTTTTTCCTAATGATTCAATGTGAAAATACCAAAAATTCAAAGCGATTGAGTTATTATTAATGGGAGTTACGATTTTTTGAATATAAGTAATGATGTTTTGTAAAGTAAGACTTTACAAACAATTTTTTCACTCAAAAACTAAAGTGAGTGGAAAGTTGAAATTTTGAGGACTTTTTCCTAATGATTCAATGTGAAAAATACCAAAAATTCAAAGCGATTGAGTTATTATTAATGGAGTTACGATTTTTTGAATATAAGTAATGATGTTTTGTTAAGTAAGACTTTACAAACAATTTTTTCACTCAAAAACTAAAGTGAGTGGAAAGTTGAAATTTTGAGGACTTTTTCCTAATGATTCAATGTGAAAAATACCAAAAATTCAAAGCGATTGAGTTATTATTAATGGAGTTACGATTTTTTGAATATAAGTAATGATGTTTTGTAAAGTAAGACTTTACAAACAATTTTTTCACTCAAAAACTAAAGTGAGTGGAAAGTTGAAATTTTGAGGACTTTTTCCTAATGATTCAATGTGAAAAATACCAAAAATTCAAAGCGATTGAGTTATTATTAATGGAGTTACGATTTTCTGAAAATAATGATGTTTTGTAAAGTAAGACTTTACAAACAATTTTTTTCACTCAAAAAACTAAAGTGAGTGGAAAGTTGAAATTTTGAGGATTTTTTCCTAATGATTTTAATATGAAAAATACCAAAAATTCAAAGCGATTGAGTTATTATTAATGGAGTTACGATTTTCTGAAAATAATGATGTTTTGTAAAGTAAGACTTTACAAACAATTTTTTCACTCAAAAACTAAAGTGAGTGGAAAGTTGAAATTTTGAGGATTTTTTCCTAATGATTTAATGTGAAAAATACCAAAAATTCAAAGCGATTGAGTTATTATTAATGGAGTTACGATTTTTTGAATATAAGTAATGATGTTTTGTAAAGTGAGACTTTACAAACAATTTTTTCACTCAAAAACTAAAGTGAGTGGAAAGTTGAAATTTTGAGGACTTTTTCCTAATGATTCAATGTGAAAAATACCAAAAATTCAAAGCGATTGAGTTATTATTAATGGAGTTACGATTTTTTGATATAAGTAATGATGTTTTGTAAAGTAAGACTTTACAAACAATTTTTTCACTCAAAAACTAAAGTGAGTGGAAAGTTGAAATTTTGAGGATTTTTTCCTAATGTAAAAAATACCAAAAACTCAAAGCAATTGAGTTATTATTAATGGAGATACGATTTTTTGAAAATAATGATGTTTTGTAACTTTACAAACAATTTTTTCACTCTAAAACTAAAGTGAGTGGAAACTTGAAATTTTGAGAACTTTTTCTTAATGATTGAATGTAAAAAATTCTAAAAACCCAAAGCAAATGAGTTATTATTATTGGAGCTATGATTTTATGATTTTCAATGCTTTATTTTGTAGAACTTGTCTCTAATTGAAATTTTATTATAATTAATAAATGTATTTAAAAAAAAATCTTTGTCTGGGAGGGGTGATTACCCTCTCAACCCTCCCTTTATACCGCCCTGAGCAAAAGAAAATTATTCTTAGCCTTAGGAGTTCTTCCAAATTGATTACCGTTGATCTAACAAATATGTCAAATGATAGGTACATTGTATATAAACAATTCCCTTACTTTTTGAGCTTGTTTGAGATATTTTACCCCATCCAGCAACAAGACACCGTTTATTCTCAAAAGAAATATCAGGATTCAGACAAATTGTGTTGATAAGTGGAGTCATAGAACCATATTCTTTTTCTAAAATAAGCAAAGCCACATCATTGTAGAGCGTCCCGGATGAAAATTTTGGATGTTTTATTATCCTAGTCAAGTTTCTTTCTTGGATTGTATTGAATCCTATTTGTTGCAGCTCTATTTTGCCATTGACTATCACTTTGAGGTCTTTTGGTTTCGAGCTGGAATAGGAAATTTGCTTGAATTGAAAATGTTTAATAGTATAATACCTTGCAACTACATGAGCACCAGTCAAAACCACTCTTGGATGAATCAGAGATCCGATTTTGTGGTATTTCCAATGGTTATTTGAATGTTTTTTGTAAATGGCTGCAATCCAAGGGAATTCGCCGTCTAGGGGAAATTCGTTTTCGTCAGCGGCGGAAATTCTTATGTTTATTGTGGGACGCGGTTTTCCACATTGTAATAGTTTTATCTGAATTAGTAAAATTTATTAATAAATTAAAGACTTTGTATCATCTAGGTACTTTTTTTGTGTTATTTGTTGTTGGCAACTTTACTGCTTCTTCAGGCTTGAATTTGCAACAAATTATTTCATTTTCGAATCTGCTTCCAGAACAAGTTATCGCTTGATCAGATTTGCTACTTGTTGAAAATCTATAATTTATTGAAGAATTCTTGATCACCTTGATGTTTGGAATTCCCAATTTAAAATTTTATCGTTACCTGGGCTCAACTAAACCAATTCCATTTGTGATAATAAACCCTTCTTTGTCGCATTGATAATAAAAAACACAGGCACAATCATTCTGTTTTTCAATAATCGAATTTACATTGTTTACCACTTCAAGACAAAAGCAGGTTTTTGCTACTAAAAATAAGATTAAAACTTTCATTGTTGACACGAGCAAAGTTGTTTTATAAATAAATTATACCGAATATATTAAAGTGCAATAGGTTATCATAATATTTGATGGTTTCTGAAAATGTTTACCAAACAGTTTAAGAAACAATTAACAATTATAGAGGCTCAAAGATATGATAAGAAGCCCTTTTAGAGGTAGAGCAAAATTAGTATTCTATAGATGTCACTACAATAAAATATTTAATAAAACAATTCAAATTATATTTGTAACTATTAAAATATTTATTTAAAAGTTTTTATATATTATATTATGGCATTTTAGAGGCATTATAGCATCAATATATAGATAAAGAGTAAATTTATAGACATGTTTATCATATTATTAAATGACTAAGAAGATCTCAGATATAATATCTAAGACTTTCTTAGATCTGTTCAATTATTACATCCTCATCACAAATGTTACACATAAGTATAAGTACAATCAGATTGTATAAAGAAAAATAAACAACAAATAAAACAATAACGATATAAAAAATTCTAAAAATCAATTGGACAATAATCACACAAAGATTAATACTATACCTAAATTTTATATAATAAATACGTTTTTGGTGCAAAAAATATATATTATTATGCCCGAGATACATATATTCTAGGGCATAAAGTCTCACTTGTCTCGCTGAAAAATACTAGTTATACATTGTTAAACTTATTTACAGCCAAGAAATCCTTGTTTGATAAAGAGAATATGTTTTTTTTTTGTGCTTAATAATAACAATGAAGAAAAAATAAATAATGTCCGCCTCTATTTTGATAGCTAGAGAAGTGCAGAATAGAGAAATAGTATATTTCTAAGAAGTGTGGAAAATCAATCTTTTATTTTTTCTACAAGAGAACTGCACAAATCATGAACTCTTGTGAAAAAAAGGCAAATTCTACTAGAAACTTGTCATAATTGAATATTGTATTTTAGGGTATTGCTTGTGTATGAGTGAATAAATCACAAACTAATGAGCCGATAGATACATCAAATTCAAATTTACAGCTGAAAATATTTATTGGAAGTCAATAAAAGATACTAGAGTGTATATTTTAATTGTATAATAAATTCTTATAAGTGGGTTTGATTGTTTAAAGTATTTTTCAGATATTTTGAAAGGTAATTTAAGATAGGTAAATTTCATAATAATTTTATTTTCAAGCCTCAGATTCACTTCCAAATTGTTCTATTTGACAAAAAGACTTTAATTAATAAATTACCAAAGTTTTAAGTCGCTGGAAAAAAATTGATTTCCCTCACACTTGTAGAAAAAATCATTTTATATACAAGTGCAAAATATACAAAATACAAAGGTAGTAACGGTAAAAAGTGGGCCCATCGGAATTGGGCCATTTAGATATGAGAGAATATAATTTTTATCACATTCCAACTCACGTTTGCAAGTCACAAATATGCAAATACAAATTGTGTTTATTGCTTCCAATGTTTGTGATTATCACAGTTTCATAACAGGAAGACACCTTTTGATAAAATGTGACTTGCAACAAGTAAAATCATCAAGTATGACACCAAGTCATATCACAGAAATAAATTAAATTACTAGCTAAATGACCAAATATTATCTGTCTGTGACTGCAAAGCCGCGTCGGAAAATGACTAGATCTTTTTCGACAAAGTCCAAATAAGCTGTGAAATGGAATGCTATGTTTGATAGTACCACTATGTATTCTGAGGCAGCAAAAAGAGAATATACTGCAAAAAAAACATACATAGGTAGTCAATGGAAAATAATGGTTCATTATAAATTACTTACCATATGGCTCGCACATTGAATTATGTCTCATGAAAAAGTACCCTGCTAGCACAATAAACATAAAATTGGTAATAAAACACCTTTTTTTCCAAGATAAGCTATGCTTTTTTTGCCTTTTGAATCGTCCCTGTAGAATACATACCAGAAACATATAAATTTCTGATACAGATATAAATGTGATAAAGGCTTTTTCATGCACAGCTGCAAAATATATAAAATAGAGTTGTTTTGTTTAGAAGGGCCAAATGGTCTGTTCTCACAGAAATCAGAAACCTGGCAAGAACGTTTTTGATTGGAGCAAATCGTTACCAACCAGAGTTTTTGTAGGGTATTTATTTATTTACTAGTTTATCAGCACAAATTCTCACATTGAAGATTTTCAAAAAAAATAAAAAGTTTCAAGCTCATCTTATTTACAGCTATGTATTTTGATTTTGTTAAATTTAGAGCTAAAATACAGCTCAGATAGTAGAGAGAATTTTTTAGCACTTTAACTATGAGTGGCTCGTATTTTTCAGGAGCGAGCCTCAGATCTAGAAAGAGATTTGAGAAGAAGCTTCATTGGCTCATAGCTGTTGAAGCCAAGTTTTGAAATTCTCAGATCCAGAGCAAGAATGTTGGTGTAGTGGAGTGGTTTTTTTCTTTACTACTCTCAGTTTTCACTCCAATTGTTGTCTACAAGGGGAAAACCACCTAGGAATTCTTTGCCAAAAATGTGGGAAATTTGTGGGAGATTTAGAGGAATTTGTGGAAAATCTGAAGGAACTCATCGGAATTTATGAGAATTTGGGGAATTTATAGGGAATTTGGAGGAATTTTTGGGGAATTTGGAAGAATTTGTGAGAAATGTATGAGGAATTTAAAGGAAATTATAGGGGTCATGACGTTATTGATTCACATTCTTATTATAAGAAATAGTAATACCTAAATGAAAATTTAAAAAAAAATTAGTTTTGTGTTGGAATATTCATTTTTATTAAAGAAATTCTCCCAAAATTTCACTTCATGATTTACAGGTCCAAATTTAAAAAATTCAAAAGAATACTTAATAAGTATATACAGTTTTTATTAATGATTTTTATAGGGAAAATGAGCTTCTCACCTTCCTCTTTACATGCAAAAAGTTTCAAATTTCTCCCTTCACTAGTTTTCCAGGAAAACTTTTGAAATATGTGAGACTGTATTTTCCATTAATTCAGTTATTGTAAGTTGATTTCCAAGCGCATGTTGTAATTTTCTACTGGAAAATTTTGAAATTCTAGGAAAATGAGCTTCTAACCTTCCTCTTTACATGCAAAAAGTTTCAAATTTCTCCTTCCACTAGTTTTCCAAAAAAACTTTGAAATGTGTGAGACTGTATTTTCAACTAATTCAGTTTTTGTAGGTTGATTTCCAAGATTTTTCATGTTGCTGTTTTCCACTGGAAAAATTTGAAATTATGGAAAAATGAGCTTCTCACTTTCTTCTTTACATGCAAAAAGTTTCAAAATTTTCGCTTCACTAGTTTTCCAGAAATCCTTTCAAATGTGTGAGATGTATTCTCAACTAATTCAGTTTTTGTAGGTTGATTTCAAAGATTCCTCATGTTGTAATTTTTTACTGGAAAAATTTGAAATTTTGGGAAAATGAGTTTCTCGCCTTCCTCTTTACATGCAAAAAGTTCCAAAATTTTTCCTTCACTATTTTTCCAGAAAAAAATTTGAAATATGTGAGACTGTATTTTCAACTAATTCAGTTATTGTAGGTTGATTTCCAAGATTTTTCATGTTACATTTTTCCACTTGAAAAATTTGAAATTATGGGAAAATGAGCTTCTCACTTTCTTCTTTACATGCAAAAAGTTTCAAAATTTTCCCTTCACTAGTTTTCCAGAAATCCTTTCAAATGTGTGAGATGTATTCTCAACTAATTCAGTTTTTGTAGGTTGATTTCAAAGATTCCTCATGTTGTAATTTTTTACTGGAAAAATTTGAAATTTTGGGAAAATGAGTTTCTCGCCTTCCTCTTTACATGCAAAAAGTTCCAAAATTTTTCCTTCACTATTTTTCCAGAAAAAAATTTGAAATATGTGAGACTGTATTTTCAACTAATTCAGTTATTGTAGGTTGATTTCCAAGATTTTTCATGTTACATTTTTCCACTTGAAAAATTTGAAATTATGGGAAAATGAGCTTCTCACTTTCTTCTTTACATGCAAAAAGTTTCAAAATTTTCCCTTCACTAGTTTTCCAGAAATCCTTTCAAATGTGTGAGATGTATTCTCAACTAATTCAGTTTTTGTAGGTTGATTTCAAAGATTCCTCATGTTGTAATTTTTTACTGGAAAAATTTGAAATTTTGGGAAAATGAGTTTCTCGCCTTCCTCTTTACATGCAAAAAGTTCCAAAATTTTTCCTTCACTATTTTTCCAGAAAAAAATTTGAAATATGTGAGACTGTATTTTCAACTAATTCAGTTATTGTAGGTTGATTTCCAAGATTTTTCATGTTACATTTTTCCACTTGAAAAATTTGAAATTATGGGAAAATGAGCTTCTCACTTTCTTCTTTACATGCAAAAAGTTTCAAAATTTTCCCTTCACTAGTTTTCCAGAAATCCTTTCAAATGTGTGAGATGTATTCTCAACTAATTCAGTTTTTGTAGGTTGATTTCAAAGATTCCTCATGTTGTAATTTTTTACTGGAAAAATTTGAAATTTTGGGAAAATGAGTTTCTCGCCTTCCTCTTTACATGCAAAAAGTTCCAAAATTTTTCCTTCACTATTTTTCCAGAAAAAAATTTGAAATATGTGAGACTGTATTTTCAACTAATTCAGTTATTGTAGGTTGATTTCCAAGATTTTTCATGTTACATTTTTCCACTTGAAAAATTTGAAATTATGGGAAAATGAGCTTCTCACTTTCTTCTTTACATGCAAAAAGTTTCAAAATTTTCCCTTCACTAGTTTTCCAGAAATCCTTTCAAATGTGTGAGATGTATTCTCAACTAATTCAGTTTTTGTAGGTTGATTTCAAAGATTCCTCATGTTGTAATTTTTTACTGGAAAAATTTGAAATTTTGGGAAAATGAGTTTCTCGCCTTCCTCTTTACATGCAAAAAGTTCCAAAATTTTTCCTTCACTATTTTTCCAGAAAAAAATTTGAAATATGTGAGACTGTATTTTCAACTAATTCAGTTATTGTAGGTTGATTTCCAAGATTTTTCATGTTACATTTTTCCACTTGAAAAATTTGAAATTATGGGAAAATGAGCTTCTCACTTTCTTCTTTACATGCAAAAAGTTTCAAAATTTTCCCTTCACTAGTTTTCCAGAAATCCTTTCAAATGTGTGAGATGTATTCTCAACTAATTCAGTTTTTGTAGGTTGATTTCAAAGATTCCTCATGTTGTAATTTTTTACTGGAAAAATTTGAAATTTTGGGAAAATGAGTTTCTCGCCTTCCTCTTTACATGCAAAAAGTTCCAAAATTTTTCCTTCACTATTTTTCCAGAAAAAAATTTGAAATATGTGAGACTGTATTTTCAACTAATTCAGTTATTGTAGGTTGATTTCCAAGATTTTTCATGTTACATTTTTCCACTTGAAAAATTTGAAATTATGGGAAAATGAGCTTCTCACTTTCTTCTTTACATGCAAAAAGTTTCAAAATTTTCCCTTCACTAGTTTTCCAGAAATCCTTTCAAATGTGTGAGATGTATTCTCAACTAATTCAGTTTTTGTAGGTTGATTTCAAAGATTCCTCATGTTGTAATTTTTTACTGGAAAAATTTGAAATTTTGGGAAAATGAGTTTCTCGCCTTCCTCTTTACATGCAAAAAGTTCCAAAATTTTTCCTTCACTATTTTTCCAGAAAAAAATTTGAAATATGTGAGACTGTATTTTCAACTAATTCAGTTTTTGTAGGTTGATTTCCAAGATTTTTCATGTTACATTTTTCCACTTGAAAAATTTGAAATTTTGAGAAAATTAGTTTCTCACCTTCTTCTTTACATGCAAAAAGTTTCAAAATTTTACCTTCATTAGTTTTCCAGGAAAACTTTGAAATGTGTGAGACTATATTTTCAATTAATTCAGTTTTTGTAGGTTAATTTCCAAGATTCCTCATGTTGTAATTTTCTACTGGAAAGATTTGAAATTATGGGAAAATGAGCTTCTCACCCAAGTTCTCACCTTCCTCTTTACATGCAAAAAGTTTCAAAATTTTCCCTTCACTAGTTTTCCAGGAAAACTTTGAAATTTGTGAGACTGTATTTTCAACTAATTCAGTTATTGTAGGTTGATTTCCAAGATTTTTCATGTTGCTGTTTTCCACTGAAAAAATTGAAATTTTGGGAAAATGAGCTTTTCACCTTCCTCTCTACATGCAAAAAATTTCAAAATTTTCCCGTCACTAGTTTTCCAGGAAAACTTTTAAATGTGTGAGACTGTATTTTCAATTAATTCAGTTTTTGTAGGTTAATTTCCAAGATTCCTCATGTTATAATTTTCTACTGGAAAAATTTGAAATTATGGGAAAATGAGCTTCTCACCTTCCTCTTTACATGCAAAAAGTTTCAAAATTTTCCCTTCACTAGTTTTCCAGGAAAACTTTGAAATGTCTGAGACTGTATTTTCAACTAATTCAGTTTTTGTAGGTTGATTTCCAAGATTTTTCATGTTGCTGTTTTTTACTAGAAAAATAAGTCAGGTATTTGGAGAAGTTCATGGTGTGGTATTTGTAGGAATTTGTGATGGGATATCTGGAGGAATTTGTAGGAATTTTGAGGAATTATGCGTAGAAAATTCCCCTTTGAGGAATTGTTTACACAAATTCTGGGATGGTGGTTTACCCCTTGGTTGTCTATTTGAGATCTATAAATTATGAACATACAAAACAAATTCAAGAGTCTGAGAAATCAGCTTATTGTTTTTACTTTTTACCTTGTAAAATTCTCTATTTATTTATTTTGTATCAATTCTAACGTTAATTTTCTTTGAATTTATTTTCAGATTCTGTGATTCGCCTAAGGTCTGTTTTTTTTTTTAAAGATAATTCGTGTGGATTTAAATGGACAAGATTCTGAAGATTCTAGAAATGAAATCTTAAAGAAAAACTTCTAGATTGTATAGGCTCGTCTTGATTTTGTCTTTAGAGCTGAAAATGCTGTGCTAAAATACAGCTCAGATGACAAACATAAGAGTTTTTGAGTATTTCACCCGAGATTTCAACTATCAGATTCTGATTCTTTGCCTATATTTTTCTGAGCCTCAGATTTAGAAAAATAATTGAGAGGAAGCTTTATTGGCTCATAACCTTTGAAGACAAGTTTTGAATTCCTCAGATCCAGAGCAAGAATGTTAGGTAGGTATAGTGGAGTAGTTTTTTTTTACTTTTTTGATTTCTCACTCCAAATGTTGTCCATTTCAGACTACTAAATTATAAACATTCAAAACAAATTCAAGAGCCTAGAATACAAAAATTATGTTAATCAAAATGGGGTTTTGTGTATGCTGCCAACTCTGCCAACAACCAGTTTTCCGACTGTTTTCAACTAATGAAATTCACTCCGATAGATTTATGATTAACTGTGAAAACAGACCTAAAGACTTACCATAAGACTTTGATGAAGTAAAAAAAGACAAAGTAATCAGCGCAATATTTTCAACAATATTCAAAATAAAAGCCATATACCCCATCCACATATATTCCACATGCAACATTTTATGGTGATAATTCAAATACTCTCTGGCCACCAAAATCCTAGGGAAGAGCTGTAAAGTCATCGCAATCTGCCAGATTTCTCTTTGAGGCGAAAAGTTGCCAATAGCGGCAGATATCGACGGTAAAACATTGTAAACTTGGCAGTGCGTGTACGTGGCGTTTTCAAAGTTAAAAATCACAGAATAGACGATGCAAAATAGGAAAGCCAGCAAGGGAAAACACATTACCAACACAATGACCTTTGTGAACGATACTCGTAAATTGGGGCGGTACTCGTATTCATTGTAGATTAGGGCGTATTGAGTTTTACCAGAGCTCATTATTTTTTACGGAAAATTAATTTTTTTTCGGGGCTACTTACGGACTAAATTAGTAGATTTTTATCAAAACATTTTTGTGTTTATTTTTTTGAAAATAAAAATTTTTTGTTTTTGTTAAAGGGATTTGAGGTTATGTGAAACGTCAAAATCCAAGGTGACAAAGGCGTTGCATTCAATAGACGTTATTTCTACAAATTGATTATTTTTAATAATGTTATAATGAGTTTCTTTAAACTAATTAATTATAATTAAGTAAAAACTAATTACCGTGCACCTAATTGAATTTTTAAATTGGGAAATGAATGGGTTTTTACTTTAGTTTAGTCAATGGAAATATTTTAATGTAGTGACATCTGTGAGTACCATTTTGAACTAATCATCATTGACGCTATTTAATTTTTGAATTTCAAATAATGTGATTAGGATTTATTATATGGATAAAATATGGAAAAGCTTTATTTCAATGTGAAATTCAAACGCCTAGAATAGAAAAGACGTTAGATTATGCCAAGAAAAAACCTAAAAATTGATGATACTACATTCTGGCAACACTGCACGGACTTGACGTTTCTGACAGTTCGCCCTCGACTTTATCCATTGATTTTTTTTGTTTGGTTTGTATTTGAGTTGAGTTCGGTTCGGTGTGTGCAGTAGCTTTTGCTCAGTCTTGTATCTGTAAAGTATTTCCAAATTCTATTTATTTTCCTAATGAAATTGGGGCGTGAAAAATAATAGAAAAAAATCGGGCCCCGGAAAATGTATTTCCTCATACCGTTCTCTTTTATATAAGTTCCTAAGCCAATCGTGTGAATGTCCTATTTTATTTTTAAAAAACTTTTGCTTTCTGTATTTAATTTGAGTTGTTGCAACAAATAAAAGAAATGTTTTGATGTTGTCGGTGATGTTAGGTTATGTGCATTAGCTGCATCTAAAAATTAATCGTTTGGGGGGGCCCCATTTTCCGTACTAAAAATGAGCACCTGGGCGGCGAGAATGCATAGGCGCGCGGCAACTTTCAGTAACGTAGTCACGTCTTGCGGTCACCCTTCGGGCCCCTATCCGAGGCGGCTAGAAAAAGTCAAATTCGGGGTGCCTCTAGAAGAAGTGTGCAAAAACGACATTCCCGGGCCCCTATTGGTAAGTATTTTTGTTTGAGCAGTTGCAAAACAAGATTACAACCTTTAACTTTTTACTTTTTAAAATAACCAGGTGTTTTTCACACTTGGGCAGTCAGCCAAGGAGGCACCCTTTGTGGCTTATGTGAATACAAACATTGTTTTTCTTAGATTCAACATATGGTACCCACATAATTAAAATACTATTAAAAGGGCATCATAACAATGAAGCAATGTGAATATTTGCTAATAATTACACAAATTTTCAATTGGCACCAAAATCCCTATTAAAAATATTTTAATTACTTGCTCCCACTATACATTTATTTAAAATATCAAAATTATATTAATAATAATAATAATAACTTCGTTTATTTAGCATCAGTGCTATACAATTAACAACAATAAATCATTATATATAAATTAATAAATTATCACAATTTCCCATTTCATAGCCTAACTTATACTTTGACAAAATTCCGAATTTAGCTATAATTCTGCTTAACAAAAATACTTAAATTTCTTTTAAATTCATTCAAACGTTTCATTTCTCTTATATGTAATGGTAATCTATTGTACATAGTAAGACCCCTGTAAAACAATGATTTCTGAGTTAATGCCTTTTTTGCAGTTGGAATGAATATATTACGCGATGTTCTGGTATTGTACAGATGTACATCATTGACAAATATAATTCTACTTACCATGTAATCAGGTAACAATCTGTTTACAATTTTATAAATAAATAATAAATTATTGAAAACTAATCTTTGATTTACACTCATAAAACAGAGACATTCCAACATACTCCTTACACTGGCATACCTATTCACTTGCAATATTGCCCTCATAGCTCTATTCTGTTGAACTTGAAGCTTTTGCTTATCACAATCGTTACTATACAGTAAGATCGTTGGGCAATACTCGAAGAGAGGCGCTATAAGAGTTTTATATACATGTATTCTTGACATATATGATAGATTCTTACAAATTCTACTAAAGAAATTTATTCGCTTGCTGACCTTATCTGATATGTATTCAACATGTTTACTAAACTTTAAATGTTTGTCAATAATTAAACCTAAATATTTACATTCATTCACAAAATCTATATTTTCGTTGAACATTTTCAATTCAGGATTTATCACATTATATTTTGTTGTAAACAACATGCCCTTTGTTTTTTTAATATTTACAAATAATTTATTATTTACCATCCATCTTTCTAGTTTATTTAAAGCATCCTGCATTTTCTTTACAACTAATTCTATTGATTCCCCTATCACAGAAATGGCTGTATCATCAGCAAACAAATTAATCATTATATCTTCATCAACACATTCAGAAATATCATTAACATAAACAATAAATAACAAACAACCTAGCACCGTACCCTGAGGGACACCAAATACTACTCTTTCTGCTTCTGACAATGAATTACCAATTTTGACTTTTTGACACCTATTAGATAAATAATTAGTAAACCATTTACTGGCCTTATCAACTACACCGTACCTTTCTAATTTCTTGATTAATATTGACCTATCAATAGTTTCGAATGCTCTTTTAAAGTCAATGAAAACAGTCAAAACCATTTTGTTTGAATCCAATGCTTCTTTCCATTTAGTCACTACCAATTGAATGGCTGTTTCACACGAATGTTTTTCGCGGAAGCCAGACTGGTTTTCAATTAGGATATTATTGGTATTTATGTGGGTCAGCAGTTGTTGTTTAATGAATAACTCGAGCACCTTTTCACACAAAGGAAGCATGTTTATTGGGCGGAATTCCTCACATTTTTTTGTATTAGCAACTTTCTGTATTGGAGACACTATCGATACTTTCCAGGCGTCAGGTACTTCACATGTCGTTATAGACCTATTTATAATTTTTTGTAGTTCTTTAGAAATGACACTCTGTCCCAATTTTAAGACGGTTTTTGTGATCTACTGAATTTTCCTTACTCAGGCTGTTAATGATATTCATAGTCTCCATTTCAGATATTAAAGAAAAAGCCTTATCTAACATTTGGTAGGTATAAAATGGTAAATAGTTTGTTTATATTTTTAAAAAGAAACAACATTCCTTATCAAACCAAAATGCAAATAAATATTAAATAGGTACCATACTTGTGCAACCTCAGTAATTTCCTTTTTTTATAAATTTTAAAACCTATTGCTCATTTTTCTCTTTGTACAAGGTGAGTCACCATATTTGCAGGTAGGTGTCAAAATAAAATGACTCACCCTGTACAGGGTATTTGATTATATTTGGCACCATACCTACAGCCTTTACTATTTAGGATAGAAAAAAATTGTAAATACAAAACTTGACAGTTTTTTTCTATATTTTCTTTTAACATTATCAGAAAAAACAAAATCGCATTGGAAAATGGAGAAACGTAGACAACTTCGACTTTTTTAAATGGATCACCCTGTATATTTTGCGATAAAATGAAAGACCTTCTCTTCCTGATTACAAATATATATATGTTGATCATATTTGCATGAGCTATTTTTGACATACCTCAGCTTAAATTATAACTGAATTGCAAAGAAATTTTATAAAGATAGAGATCCTTATGGAACTTCTCTGCAAATTCTTTATAATTTAACCTGAGATATGTCAAAAATGGCTCATGCAAATGTGATCAACATATATATATTTGTAATCAGGAAGAAAAGGTCTTTCATTTTATCGCAAAATATACAGGGTGTTCCATTCAAAAAAGTCGAAGTTGTCTACGTTTCTCTATTTTCCGATGCGATTTTGTTTTTTCTGATAATGTTAAAAGAAAATATAGAAAAAAACTATCAAGTTTTGTATTTACAATTTTTTTCTATCTTAAATAGTAAAGGCTGTAGATATGGTGCCAAATATAATCAAATACCCTGTACAAAATGGCTTAACACTTTGACAATCTTACCTACCTTTTTGCCACAATTGTGTTTGTTTATTCTTTACATATATATCGGGTCTTCAAAAAAAAAAACCAATCTAAGATTGCTATGGTTTTTTAAATGTATGTCTTAGCAATATTTTTCCTTAATTTTGTCAATGAACTTAAATGTCAAAATGTCATGTCAAAAATCCTGACCAATAAAGAAACAATAATACGACGTACGTTTTCGTAACCAAAGCAATCTTTGATTGGTTTTTTTTTTGAAGACCCAATATCATCATTTAGGGAATACAATTTTAATTTAGTGATGTCAGATTTGAGCTTTGAGTTTTTATTAAAGGAGGGTTTTAAGAGATCAAATCTAGTCCTTGGACGGCTTTTAAAAAGACACTCAGCTGGGGAAACTCCAGTAGAAGTAGAAGGAGTATTTCGATAAGTAAATAAGAAATTCTCTAAACGATTCAGAATGTTATGTTTGCTAATTTCCTTCCCCTTCTCAAGAAAAAGAGCTTTTTTTAAGCCCCTTTTAACAGTCTGGACAGCCCTTTCTGCAATGCCATTACTTTGAGGATGGTACGGCGGTGTTTTGCCTTGTCTTACTCCATTAGCTTGACAAAATAAACTAAATTCTGTGGAATTGAATGGTGGCCCATTACCTATCTGATATTATTTCTGCTGGAAATATTTGTTTTAATTTTATGATTAATTCTTTCACATTTGTTCCCTGATCCATCAATTTTACATTAATCCATTTCGATTTATTGTCAACGACAACCAGAAAAGTATAATTACATTTATGAAAGAAATCCACATTAACTTTAAAAAAATTATTTGGAGCATTAGGCCAAGGGAGTAAAATACTACTATTTGAAAAATTCTGAGTCTCTTGACAAATTGTGCATGACCCAATAAACCTATCAATGGACTCATTAATTCCTGGCCACCAACAGTATGACCTCATAAGCATCTTTATTCTCACTACCCCTAGATGTTGCTCATGAAATAAATTTAAAATTTCATTTTGGAGTGAAATAGGGATGACTATCTTACTTCCAACTAGTAAGCAATGATCTTCTACAGAGAGTTCTAATCTTTTTTTAAAATAAGGTTTTAAAGCTTCATCATTAATTGCACTAGGTCAACCCCTCAATGTCAAATCTATAACTTTAGATAATACCACATATTTCTGACTAGCAAAAGCTATATCAGTCGAATATATAGGGACATCGTAACACATATTAAAAGAGAATAAAGAGTCAGAAAATATTCCGGTATCACCATTGACTGGCAAACGGGATAAGCCATCAGCGTTTGAAATTTGACTTCCTTTCTTATATTGAATATCATAGTCATATGCAGACAAATTGATAGCCCAACGCGTGATACGCGCAGCTGCAGTAACTGGAACGTTTTTGTTTCTTCCGAATATGAACTGTAAAGGCTGATGATCTGTCACGAGTGTAAATTTACGACCAAAAATGTACTTATGAAACTTTTTCAATGCAAAAATTATAGCTAAGCTTTCTCTCTCTAAATTAGAATATTTTTGTTCCGCTTTGGATAATGTGCTCGACGCAAACAAGACTGGTTTGTCATCATTATTAATTTGATGGCTTAATACTGCACCTACCCCATACCCGCTTGAATCACATGTCACAAAAATGGGTTTTGTAGGATCAAAGTGTGTCAAAACATCTTCAGAAGTAAGCAGATCTTTACTTAGTTGAAAAACTTTTTCACACTCTTGACTCCATACAAAATCACAATCACCCTTACATAAATCATAAAGAGGCTTTAGTCTTGCTGAAAGCATATGTATAAACTTACCATAATAATTTAATAGTCCCAAATATGATTTTAATTGTGTGACATTTTGCGGATAAGGAGCTTTCTTTATACATTCAATTTTGTCATCTGTAGGATGAATTCCTAGTGAATCGACCCTATGTCCTAAAAACACTACTGATTTTTTGAAAAATTTACATTTGTTTTCATTGACTTTAACATTGAACTCTTCTAATCTTTTTAGGACATTAATCAGATTATCGTGGCATTTTTGAAGAGAAGAACCGTATACTAGAATATCATCCAAGTAACATTTGGTTCCTGGTAAGCCTGATAAAATGGTATCCATAAAACACTGAAAAATGCCTGAAGCCGAGCTCACTCCATAAGTCATTCGATTAAATTTAAATAATCCAATATGTGTATTTATGGTGAAAAGTTCTTTAGATGCCTCACTGATTTGTAATTGTTGATAAGCACCTTTAAGGTCCAAAACAGTGAAACAGCTACTACCGTTGAGACTCGCGAATATATCATTGGGTAATGGCAATACACAATGATCAGTGTCAATAACCTTATTTAAGGTTTTCTTAAAATCAACACAAATTCTTATTTCATTGCAATTTTTCTTTGGAACCACTACTATAGGACTTGACCAGTTGCTATGACTGACTTTAAATAAAATACCAGATTTGACCATCTTAAAAAGTTCCTCTTCAACTTTTAGTTTAAGTGAATATGGCATTTCATAAGACCTGTGAAAAATAGGAGTTACACCATCCTTCAATTTAAACTCAGCTTTGAATTCTTTGATAAATGAATTTGGCTCATCAATAAACAATTTCGAAAACTTATTTTTAATTTGACTGACCAAATTAACTTTGAATTTATCTGATTCTGACTCTTGACTTACACAATTTGACTTACTTTGACTAGCATTCTCAGACTTCTCAAAAATTGAAATTTGTTTAATTACAATACTACTATCTAACAAATTTTCTTTCCAATTCTGGTTTAAAATACTCAACCAATTACGACCCAACAATGGTATAAACTTTGAAACAGATCTAAGAACTACTAATGGTAAAATATGTATCTGTTTGATATACTTAACATGCACATCAATTTGAACCAAAATAAAGACTTTCTGCCCGGTTAACACTCTTATAGGATTTTCACGTTATATTTAGGATGACGTCACATTTAGTAAATTTCTGCTGCAAATCTAACAAAACTAAAAGTACTTCTTAACGCATTTAAAGTAGGGGAATTTCAGATGTTTCTGGTTGGCTACGGCGCGCGAAGTTGCATGATTTAAATAAACATTTTCAAATAAATAACGCGTGTCGATTCATTTCGTTATTTTTAGTTGTCAGTGGTCTTGATAATTCATTATGACCAATGAACTCTAAACTACACGTATCTGGAATGGCACCGACTGTTGTCGGATATGGCATTTGTCATCTCGCTTAGTGCGTCCAAAAAACTAAAGTTCGTTTCTTGGAAATCAGCCTACAAAAACTGAATTATTTGAAAATACAGTCTTACATAATTCAAAGTTTTCTATATATTTTTATAATCAGGGCATTGTGCAGGGCATCCCATTTGAATAAAGCTGGAAGCATGCAAAATTTCACATTTCTGACATTCAATTTTTGTTTCTAACTCTGGATTCTAAAAATTTAGCGAAAACTGTATTAAATCCTTTACCAATCTCTGTTTAACAGTTTCAATGCAGCTTCAACAATTCAAGAGCCTGGAATAGAAAAATTAGGCCAAAAATGGTAAAAAATAAGTATTTCAATAAAAAATTGAGAGAAACAAAAATATTATGAAAAGTTATTGCACCAATGCAATGGGAAGTAGCAACATTGCATAAAATCCTTTTATGAAACATTTCAGATTAACATCACTTTAAAAATACTTAATTCATTATCATAATGACGAAATAATTACGCTGTGGAAAAATACTTAAAAATCATATTCTTTAAACATCTTTTAAAAAAATAGAAGGCAAATATTATTTGTGTAACAATTATTATTCAGCAATAGTAAATAAATGACATGGGTTATTAAAGCGAGCTGATTATTTTTATGATATTTGTTGATAATGAAATTTTATTGTTTCAATAACAGATAAGAAACTTGAATGGCTGGAACTAAAAACGTAAAAGGCCTCGTTTCATAAAATTTAATATTTTAATAACAAAAACAGGAACCTATTTTTATTGTTGGAAAACTTACTGGTTGACTTCTCAACAACAAACAATAATTTTGCGTATTTTTTTTTATATCATTTATACTTCATGCTCCAGTAAAGTCCATTTAGAAATCACCAGTTGCATCAACAAAATCACCCAGCATGATTAATTTACCGACAAATTACAAAATAATTTTCACTTATATTTTAGGTATTAATTTTGAAACTCAACAAAGAAGCTCCGTATAGGAAAGACGTGTTCAGAGCCCCCGGTCATCAAGGGGCCATGAAAAAGCTCATCCATTTTTTGCAAACTGGCCGTCTTGTCAACATGGACAATTTCAGCGTCTACACCATAGCCAGTGTACTGAAAAAATTTCTTAGAAAAGTGCCTGGTGGCATTTTTGGTAGGGATATCGAGCAGAAATTTTTCGAAGTCATCGAGATACACGATGTACATCAACAAAGAGACGAAATATACAGGTACACCCACATAGATTTAATTAAATGACTTCCTTTTTGCTGTTAACTGATAAGTTAATGAATGCCTTTAATCACTCATTCCTGAACTATATGTCACTCATTGTTTACGGTTTTGGTATAGTCTGATTACTCATAAGAATAAACTGCGTCATTAATTGAATAATTAAAGTCAACACCTGGCTGGGTGTAATTTTATAAATATTAATTGACTCTTTTTATCAATTGTGTGTAGGATTAATTTAATAGGAATAATCGTTTCTAGAATAATCACATCGCTACCGCCTTACACACAAAAACTGTTGGTACTTCTATTTGGCACGTTCAGGGTGATAGCTTCGAATAGTGAAAAGGCCGGCACCGGAATGACCGGGGAAGCCCTGGGAGTCAGCGTGGCGCCCAGTTTTTTCCATTCGTGCGTCAGCGATGGAAAAACTGCCAAAATGGAGGATGTCATGAAGTTTAAGGTGATTATATTTTTGGGTGGAAATTTTATTAAATTAAATAGCGTTTGGAAAATGAAGTGGCTAAATGGTAGTTGTACTCGATTATACCTGAAACGAGCATAAAATTCATGATTATTTTGGAAATGTGTTTGTTCTAGTGCTATGATTTTTCTTTTCATTATTTGTCTATTTTTTTCGTCTAATATTTTTATTTATTCCAGGCTCTTGAGCTTCAAAGTATTTTGATTTTTATCAACTTAATTCGTCTAATTTTGTGTTTATTCAAGGTTTTCCTAAACAGATTCAATGGTTCAATAGGACATCCTTCAATGTCGTTTTTTGGAAGTTTGATTTTTTTCAAAATGACATTGATACACATTTTGCCTTATAACTCCCTCAATTTCAATCCGATCTCAACGTAATTAGGCTCGAAATAAGACCAACTAAATTCTCTACAAATCTCTTCCATTAATTTCAATGCAGCTTCAATAGTTTCACAGCTGCAAAGCTTCAAATTCTTTGGACTTTGATTTTTATCATAATGAACAAGCAGAAGGAAATTTCAATTTTTTTTTCCTAAATAGTTATCTTTTCTCTACACATTTGAAAAATTTCTATTAAATCCCTGGAATATTTTTCCTAAAAATAACTAAAACATCCTTAAATGTTGTTTCTTAGAAGTTCGATGTTTTACAAAATGACATTGGTACACATTTTGCTTCATAACTGTGGTAATTTCAATCCGATCTTAACGTTATTAGGCTCGAAATAAGGCCAATCAAATTCTCTACAAATCTCCATTAATAACATTTCACTCAAATCCCCTCAAATATTTTCCCTAAAAATAAATAAAACATCCTTCAATGTCGTTTGTTGGAAGTTTGATTTCTTTTAAAACCTTTTTTTCATCAATGCATTTTTAAAATTTATCCGATCTTCTGGAACAATGTCAAAACTAACCAATAAATGTTCACTTTTATTATGTTTTTCAATTATTTAAATATTCAATTCTATTCAAATTTTGAAAATCAACCTACAATAACTGAATTAATTGAAAATACAGTCTCACACATTTCAAAGTTTTCCTGGAAAACTAGTGAAGGGAGAAATTTGAAACTTTTTGCATCTAAAGAGGAAGGTTGGAAGCTCATTTTTCCAGAATTTCAAATTTTTCCAGTAGAAAATAACAAGATGAGGAACCTTGGAAATCAACCTATAATAACTGAATTAATTGAAAATACAGTCTCACACATTTCAAAGTTTTCCTGGAAAACTAGTGAAGGGAGAAATTTGAAACTTTTTGCATGTAAAGAGGAAGGTTAGAAGCTCATTTTTCCAGAATTTCAAATTTTTCCAGTAGAAAATAACAAGATGAGGAATCTTGGGAATCAACCTATAATAACTGAATTAATTGAAAATACAGTCTCACACATTTCAAAGTTTTCCTGGAAAACTAGTGAAGGGAGAAATTTGAAACTTTTTGCATGTAAAGAGGAAAGTTGGAAGCTCATTTTCCCAGAATTTCAAATTTTTCCAGTAGAAAATAACAAGATGAGGAACCTTGGAAATCAACCTATAATAACTGAATTAATTGAAAATACAGTCTCACACATTTCAAAGTTTTCCTGGAAAACTAGTGAAGGAAGAAATTTGAAACTTTTTGCATGTAAAGAGGAAGGTTAGAAGCTCATTTTTCCAGAATTTCAAATTTTTCCAATAGAAAATAACAAGATGAGGAACCTTGGAAATCAACCTATAATAACTGAATTAATTGAAAATACAGTCTCACACATTTCAAAGTTTTCCTGGAAAACTAGTGAAGGAAGAAATTTGAAACTTTTTGCATGTAAAGAGGAAGGTTAGAAGCTCATTTTTCCAGAATTTCAAATTTTTCCAATAGAAAATAAGAAGATGAGGAACCTTGGAAATCAACCTATAATAACTGAATTAATTGAAAATACAGTCTCACACATTTCAAAGTTTTCCTGGAAAACTAGTGAAGGGAGAAATTTGAAACTTTTTGCATGTAAAGAGGAAGGTTAGAAGCTCATTTTTCCAGAATTTCAAATTTTTCCAATAGAAAATAACAAGATGAGGAACCTTGGAAATCAACCTATAATAACTGAATTAATTGAAAATACAGTCTCACACATTTCAAAGTTTTCCTGGAAAACTAGTGAAGGGAGAAATTTGAAACTTTTTGCATGTAAGGAGGAAGGTTGGAAGCTCATTTTCCCAAAATTTCAAATTTTTCCAGTAAAAAATAACAGGATGAGGAATCTTGTAAATCAACCTATAATAACTGAATTAATTGAAAATACAGTCTCACACATTTCAAAGTTTTTCTGGAAAACTAGTGAAGGGAGAAATTTGAAACTTTTTGCATGTAAAGAGGAAGGTCGGAAGCTCATTTTCCCAGAATTTCAAATTTTTCCAGTAGAAAATAACAAGATGAGGAATCTTGGAAATCAACCTATAACTGAAATAATTAAAAATACAGTCTCACACATTTCAAAGTTTTCCTGGAAAACTAGTGAAGGGAGAAATTTGAAACTTTTTGCATGCAAAGAGGAAAGTTGGAAGCTCATTTTCCCAGAATTTCAAATTTTTCCAGTAGAAAATAACAAGATGAGGAACCTTGGAAATCAACCTATAATAACTGAATTAATTGAAAATACAGTCTCACACATTTCAAAGTTTTCCTGGAAAACTAGTGAAGGAAGAAATTTGAAACTTTTTGCATGTAAAGAGGAAGGTTAGAAGCTCATTTTTCCAGAATTTCAAATTTTTCCAATAGAAAATAACAAGATGAGGAACCTTGGAAATCAACCTATAATAACTGAATTAATTGAAAATACAGTCTCACACATTTCAAAGTTTTCCTGGAAAACTAGTGAAGGAAGAAATTTGAAACTTTTTGCATGTAAAGAGGAAGGTTAGAAGCTCATTTTTCCAGAATTTCAAATTTTTCCAATAGAAAATAAGAAGATGAGGAACCTTGGAAATCAACCTATAATAACTGAATTAATTGAAAATACAGTCTCACACATTTCAAAGTTTTCCTGGAAAACTAGTGAAGGGAGAAATTTGAAACTTTTTGCATGTAAAGAGGAAGGTTAGAAGCTCATTTTTCCAGAATTTCAAATTTTTCCAATAGAAAATAACAAGATGAGGAACCTTGGAAATCAACCTATAATAACTGAATTAATTGAAAATACAGTCTCACACATTTCAAAGTTTTCCTGGAAAACTAGTGAAGGGAGAAATTTGAAACTTTTTGCATGTAAGGAGGAAGGTTGGAAGCTCATTTTCCCAAAATTTCAAATTTTTCCAGTAAAAAATAACAGGATGAGGAATCTTGTAAATCAACCTATAATAACTGAATTAATTGAAAATACAGTCTCACACATTTCAAAGTTTTTCTGGAAAACCAGTGAAGGGAGAAATTTGAAACTTTTTGCATGTAAAGAGGAAGGTCGGAAGCTCATTTTCCCAGAATTTCAAATTTTTCCAGTAGAAAATAACAAGATGAGGAATCTTGGAAATCAACCTATAACTGAAATAATTGAAAATACAGTCTCACACATTTCAAAGTTTTCCTGGAAAACTAGTGAAGGGAGAAATTTGAAACTTTTTGCATGTAAAGAGGAAGGTTGGAAGCTCATTTTCCCAAAATTTCAAATTTTTCCAGTAGAAAATAACAAGATGAGGAACCTTGGAAATCAACCTATAATAACTGAATTAATTGAAAATACAGTCTCACACATTTCAAAGTTTTCCTGGAAAACTAGTGAAGGAAGAAATTTGAAACTTTTTGCATGTAAAGAGGAAGGTTAGAAGCTCATTTTTCCAGAATTTCAAATTTTTCCAATAGAAAATAACAAGATGAGGAACCTTGGAAATCAACCTATAATAACTGAATTAATTGAAAATACAGTCTCACACATTTCAAAGTTTTCCTGGAAAACTAGTGAAGGGAGAAATTTGAAACTTTTTGCATGTAAAGAGGAAGGTTGGAAGCTCATTTTCCCAAAATTTCAAATTTTTCCAATAGAAAATAACAAGATGAGGAACCTTGGAAATCAACCTATAATCACTGAATTAATTGAAAATACAGTCTCACACATTTCAAAGTTTTCCTGGAAAACTAGTGAAGGGAGAAATTTGAAACAACTTTTTCCATGTAAAGAGGAAGGTGAGAAGTTCATTTTCCCAAAATTTCAAATTTTTCCAGTGAAAAATAACAATATGAAGAATCTTGGAAATCAGCCTTCAAAAACTGGACATTATTTTTTGAATTTTTTAAATTTGGACCTGTAAATCATGAAGTGAAATTTTGGGAGAATTTCTTTAATAAAAATAAATGTTCAACGACCAATACAAAACTAGTAGGTATAGATTTTTTTTAAAAAATTTCTTTTAATAAGTGTTTCCTATAATAAAAATGTGAATTTCAGTGACGTCATGACCCTACAATTTCCTTTAAATTCCTCATAAATTCTTCCAAATTCCCCATAAGTAAATTTCTCCAAATTCCCCATAAATTTTTCCAAAGTCCTTATAGATTACCCAAATTCTCATAAATTTCTCTAAATTCCCCACATTTTTGGCAAAAAATTCCTAGGTGGTTTGCCCCTTGGTACATAGTGTTAAAAAATGAGTATAAAGAAGAAAATGCTGCTAATCTAACACTAGCTACAAATATAATGTATTATCAAGCACCAACTCAGAAAGTACTAAACATAATTAATTTATCGCAGAAACAAGCATAAAATTCATGATTATTGCGGTTTCAAGCCCACACAATTCCTACCTTTAGCCATTTCCTTTTTCAAATAACCTCTTGCACCATTTGTAAATTAAATGCTATTGCACCACAAGTGTAATCAAATATTATAATATTGTATTACACCACAAAATTTTTAACTAATTTCTGCTTTTGCTGTATACTGCTTACTTTTCAACTACAGGCTGAAGTTAACGTAAGTGTTTTCTTACCTAAATAAAACCAAAAAATTGACACAATTTAAAATATTATCTCAATTTAGGTTGCTTCAAGAGTAATGAAACATCTAATAGAAGAATTTGCTTCTTCGAATCTCTTTGGCAAAGACAACTACGAGTATTACGCGCGAGTTACAGGCCGAGTACTGCGAGTGCAAGGCGAGTGGATTTGCTCATTCCAATATCCGCCTGCCAAGGGTATGTACCCCAACGAATACGTCGCTCTCGAGCGTTATTTATTAGGTAAGTTTCCTTGCGAGTGTTTGCATGATTTGATTGCTAAATTTAACAATTGAAGGACACTTGTCGATGGGCAAAGAGACTTGGTTGCTGTGCGAAAACCATGGAGCTTACATGGAAGGTAATGTCGAATTGGTGGACAATATTTTGCCTAATGGCGATTATTATAGCGTTAACAACACTTTGTAGATTAGTTTCACTATTAATATTTATAAAAAAACGAAAGCTCTTTATGGCACGAAGTAGTAGTTTCTAGTTCAAAAAATTCTGACAGAAGTCAAATTAATAATGTGTTCTGTTGCAAATAATGGGGAATGAATATTGTTTTTTTTTAAAAGAAAAAAGTTAGGAAAATGTATTTAGTTACATTTTGTCCCTTTAGCTTTTATTAAATTTTGTAATAATCTTGTATTTTGTCTGAAAAAAGAAAATATGAGTTTTATTTTTAATTTATTATGTTTTGTCCAATCACTGATTTGTTTTAATTATTTGCTGTTTTTCATTCTCCATACCAAAAGTATTTTTTACCAAAATTAGTTAGTTGTTGTATAGATTTAATTGTATATATAATTATACTTATTGTATTATTAATTATTATTATCATCACTTATTTCATGTGCGTGTCGTAATGCCTTTCTGTGATATTTTTTTCAATTACTGCATAAATAATTACGACACATTTAATAAATTGGCCAGTTTTTTTTAATTTGCATTTTGGCTTTTTATTTTGTGTTTGTTGCTATATGTTTCCTCAAAAGAAAATTATTCTAGCTTGTATATAAGCTGTGCATGGCTGAGTTTTGCACCCTAATTAAAAAAATAACCTGTAGTGTGTTGAGGTATGTAAGTTTCTGTCGGATTTTTCTAAATACATTGCGAAATTGTTGTAGCATTGTCTCAAGGAGAAGAATGCCAATCGACTCCTGTTCTTTTGGAAGCAGGACTGCCGCCCCAAGTGAATTCCTCGTCTTTGGGGATGATTGCCGAACACACCCTTTTAGAATCTTGCACCAGATTGTCAATATCTTTAGAGCAGAATGGTTTGTTCCAAGTGAGTTTTGATGAAATACAGTGGATAATAATTATTGATATTATAAACAATTTTTCTATACCCACTTCTTTTAATAATTTTTTTTTTTATTCCAGGCTCTTGAATTTTTTTATGAGCTGAAATTTTCAATAAGAATCGCTGAAAATTTTAGCTTTCTATCTTTAATAGAAAAAAAGTTATGACTTTTCAAAAAAGGCACTCAGAAAAATTGAAAAATTGATAAATCACCCCAAATTGCTTAACACAATTTTATCTCAGGAACTATAAGTGCAAATGAGCTGAAATTTTCAAGGATTGTAGTCCACTACTGGAATAAGAATCGCTGAAAATTTCAGCTTTCTATCTATAATAGAAAAAAAGTTATGACCTTTCAAAGTTTTCCAAAATCTAAATCCTAAGGTAGGTACCTTCTTACTGAAACGATGAAATTTCAAATTTTTTTCTGTTGAGATTTTGTATCCTAATGGTCATTTGGGATCCCCCAAACTCCATACACTAAACTATTCTCAGATTTGAAGCCGAAATCTCTGAAAAAAGGCACTCAGAAAAATTGATAAATCACCCCAAATTGCTTAACACGATTTTATCTCAGGAACTATAAGTGCATATGAGCTGAAATTTTCAAGGATTATAGTCCACTACTGGAATAAGAATCGCTGAAAATTTCAGCTTTCTATCTATAATAGAAAAAAAGTTATGACCTTTCAAAGTTTTCCAAAATCTAAATCCTAAAGTAGGTACCTTCTTACTGAAACGATGAAATTTCAAATTTTTTTCTGTTGAGATTTTGTATCCTAATGGTCATTTGGGATCCCCCAAACTCCATACACTAAACTATTCTCAGATTTGAAGCCGAAATCTCTGAAAAAAGGCACTCAGAAAAATTGATAAATCACCCCAAATTGCTTAACACGATTTTATCTCAGGAACTATAAGTGCAAATGAGCTGAAATTTTCAAGGATTGTAGTCCTCTACTGGAATAAGAATCGCTGTAAATTTCAGCTTTCTATCTATAATAGAAAAAAAGTTATGACCTTTCAAAGTTTTCCAAAATCTAAATCCTAAGGTAGGTACCTTCTTACTGAAACGATGAAATTTCAAATTTTTTTCTGTTGAGATTTTGTATCCTAATGGTCATTTGGGATCCCCCAAACTCCATACACTAAACTATTCTCAGATTTGAAGCCGAAATCTCTGACAAAAGGCACTCAGAAAAATTGATAAATCACCCCAAATTGCTTAACACGATTTTATCTCAGGAACTATAAGTGCAAATGAGCTGAAATTTTCAAGGATTGTAGTCCTCTACTGGAATAAGAATCGCTGTAAATTTCAGCTTTCTATCTATAATAGAAAAAAAGTTATGACCTTTCAAAGTTTTCCAAAATCTAAATCCTAAGGTAGGTACCTTCTTACTGAAACGATGAAATTTCAAATTTTTTTCTGTTGAGATTTTGTATCCTAATGGTCATTTGGGATCCCCCAAACTCCATACACTAAACTATTCTCAGATTTGAAGCCGAAATCTCTGACAAAAGGCACTCAGAAAAATTGATAAATCACCCCAAATTGCTTAACACGATTTTATCTCAGGAACTATAAGTGCAAATGAGCTGAAATTTTCAAGGATTGTAGTCCTCTACTGGAATAAGAATCGCTGTAAATTTCAGCTTTCTATCTATAATAGAAAAAAAGTTATGACCTTTCAAAGTTTTCCAAAATCTAAATCCTAAGGTAGGTACCTTCTTACTGAAACGATGAAATTTCAAATTTTTTTCTGTTGAGATTTTGTATCCTAATGGTCATTTGGGATCCCCCAAACTCCATACACTAAACTATTCTCAGATTTGAAGCCGAAATCTCTGAAAAAAGGCACTCAGAAAAATTGAAAAATTAATAAATCACCCCAAATTGCTTAACACGATTTTATCTCAGGAACTATAAGTGCAAATGAGCTGAAATTTTCAAGGATTGTAGTCCTCTACTGGAATAAGAATCGCTGTAAATTTCAGCTTTCTATCTATAATAGAAAAAAAGTTATGACCTTTCAAAGTTTTCCAAAATCTAAATCCTAAGGTAGGTACCTTCTTACTGAAACGATGAAATTTCAAATTTTTTTCAGTTGAGATTTTGTATCCTAATGATCATTTGGGATCCCCCAAACTCCATACACTAAACTATTCTCAGATTTGAAGCCGAAATCTCTGAAAAAAGGCACTCAGAAAAATTGAAAAATTAATAAATCACCCCAAATTGCTTAACACGATTTTATCTCAGGAACTATAAGTGCAAATGAGCTGAAATTTTCAAGGATTGTAGTCCTCTACTGGAATAAGAATCGCTGTAAATTTCAGCTTTCTATCTATAATAGAAAAAAAGTTATGACCTTTCAAAGTTTTCCAAAATCTAAATCCTAAGGTAAGGTACCTTCTTACTGAAACGATGAAATTTCAAATTTTTTTCTGTTGAGATTTTCTATCCTAATGGTCATTTGGGATCCCCCAAACTCCATACACTAAACTATTCTCAGATTTGAAGCCGAAATCTCTGAAAAAAGGCACTCAGAAAAATTGAAAAATTGATATAAATCACCCCAAATTGCTTAACACGATTTTATCTCAGGAACTATAAGTGCAAATGAGCTGAAATTTTCAAGGATTGTAGTCCTCTACTGGAATAAGAATCGCTGTAAATTTCAGCTTTCTATCTATAATAGAAAAAAAGTTATGACCTTTCAAAGTTTTCCAAAATCTAAATCCTAAGGTAGGTACCTTCTTACTGAAACGATGAAATTTCAAATTTTTTTCAGTTGAGATTTTGTATCCTAATGATCATTTGGGATCCCCCAAACTCCATACACTAAACTATTCTCAGATTTGAAGCCGAAATCTCTGAAAAAAGGCACTCAGAAAAATTGAAAAATTAATAAATCACCCCAAATTGCTTAACACGATTTTATCTCAGGAACTATAAGTGCAAATGAGCTGAAATTTTCAAGGATTGTAGTCCTCTACTGGAATAAGAATCGCTGTAAATTTCAGCTTTCTATCTATAATAGAAAAAAAGTTATGACCTTTCAAAGTTTTCCAAAATCTAAATCCTAAGGTAGGTACCTTCTTACTGAAACGATGAAATTTCAAATTTTTTTCAGTTGAGATTTTGTATCCTAATGATCATTTGGGATCCCCCAAACTCCATACACTAAACTATTCTCAGATTTGAAGCCGAAATCTCTGAAAAAAGGCACTCAGAAAAATTGAAAAATTGATATAAATCACCCCAAATTGCTTAACACGATTTTATCTCAGGAACTATAAGTGCAAATGAGCTGAAATTTTCAAGGATTGTAGTCCTCTACTGGAATAAGAATCGCTGTAAATTTCAGCTTTCTATCTATAATAGAAAAAAAGTTATGACCTTTCAAAGTTTTCCAAAATCTAAATCCTAAGGTAGGTACCTTCTTACTGAAACGATGAAATTTCAAATTTTTTTCAGTTGAGATTTTGTATCCTAATGATCATTTGGGATCCCCCAAACTCCATACACTAAACTATTCTCAGATTTGAAGCCGAAATCTCTGAAAAAAGGCACTCAGAAAAATTGAAAAATTAATAAATCACCCCAAATTGCTTAACACGATTTTATCTCAGGAACTATAAGTGCAAATGAGCTGAAATTTTCAAGGATTGTAGTCCTCTACTGGAATAAGAATCGCTGTAAATTTCAGCTTTCTATCTATAATAGAAAAAAAGTTATGACCTTTCAAAGTTTTCCAAAATCTAAATCCTAAGGTAAGGTACCTTCTTACTGAAACGATGAAATTTCAAATTTTTTTCTGTTGAGATTTTCTATCCTAATGGTCATTTGGGATCCCCCAAACTCCATACACTAAACTATTCTCAGATTTGAAGCCGAAATCTCTGAAAAAAGGCACTCAGAAAAATTGAAAAATTGATATAAATCACCCCAAATTGCTTAACACGATTTTATCTCAGGAACTATAAGTGCAAATGAGCTGAAATTTTCAAGGATTGTAGTCCTCTACTGGAATAAGAATCGCTGTAAATTTCAGCTTTCTATCTATAATAGAAAAAAAGTTATGACCTTTCAAAGTTTTCCAAAATCTAAATCCTAAGGTAGGTACCTTCTTACTGAAACGATGAAATTTCAAATTTTTTTCTGTTGAGATTTTCTATCCTAATGGTCATTTGGGATCCCCCAAACTCCATACACTAAACTATTCTCAGATTTGAAGCCGAAATCTCTGAAAAAAGGCACTCAGAAAAATTGAAAAATTGATATAAATCACCCCAAATTGCTTAACACGATTTTATCTCAGGAACTATAAGTGCAAATGAGCTGAAATTTTCAAGGATTGTAGTCCTCTACTGGAATAAGAATCGCTGTAAATTTCAGCTTTCTATCTATAATAGAAAAAAAGTTATGACCTTTCAAAGTTTTCCAAAATCTAAATCCTAAGGTAGGTACCTTCTTACTGAAACGATGAAATTTCAAATTTTTTTCTGTTGAGATTTTGTATCCTAATGGTCATTTGGGATCCCCCAAACTCCATACACTAAACTATTCTCAGATTTGAAGCCGAAATCTCTGAAAAAAGGCACTCAGAAAAATTGAAAAATTAATAAATCACCCCAAATTGCTTAACACGATTTTATCTCAGGAACTATAAGTGCAAATGAGCTGAAATTTTCAAGGATTGTAGTCCTCTACTGGAATAAGAATCGCTGTAAATTTCAGCTTTCTATCTATAATAGAAAAAAAGTTATGACCTTTCAAAGTTTTCCAAAATCTAAATCCTAAGGTAGGTACCTTCTTACTGAAACGATGAAATTTCAAATTTTTTTCAGTTGAGATTTTGTATCCTAATGATCATTTGGGATCCCCCAAACTCCATACACTAAACTATATTCTCAGATTTGAAGCCGAAATCTCTGAAAAAAGGCACTCAGAAAAATTGAAAAATTGATATAAATCACCC